CCATGTCCAGGTCTCCATGATAGCAGACTTGGTAAGGTGGTTCAGGCTCCTTCAACAATATCCAGAGGGTTTCCCAGGTAAAACACGCTAGGTAGTCCCTCTACTGGGCTCTGGGCTTGCCTCAGGGTATTCTCCCAAATGGACATGTTGGCAAATGCTAACATGAGGAAGCGTTCCAGTCCAAGTCGATGATTTCTCCTGGACAACCTGAAATGACTTTTGCTCTTAACTCTACAAGTCCATTCACCCCACCTACGCCTATTTTCACTGCTTTATCCTAGCGTCTCATTCTCTCCGACACTCACCAACTGTAGTCTGCTGTAGACCGCAATCTTGAAAGGATATTTAAACCGAGACAACCCAGCAGTATCCATCATCCCCAGCTGTCCTTTTGACAATGCCTCTCCTGCTGCCACTGCCTCGCCGACCTCTGCCATAGAGCCGTGCCTTGTTTCCAGCAGCATTGTGCGTTTTGCTTCCATTACACCGTGTGTCTGGGAGCTCTATTAGGAATCTGACAGAATTTTCCTCCCTCTGGCTGACTTTACACTCACTCGGGGTCAGCGGTTCTTGTCCCCTGCTGAGAATGGCGAAGGCAGGACTCTGCCTCCACTTCCTGAACTGTCTAATATTTCTCTAAAAAACAATCTTGTCTCCATGATATCTTGAACTTTAGCTTCTCTTGGATTTTCCTCTCTCTTAGATTTTCATTAGAGGGAGACCCTAAGGTGCCTCTGCTGAAAATCTGGGGCCAAAAGACCGTTTCTTCAGTGGGATTTTAAGGGCTTAATCTCACATTAAGATACAACAGGTAGATAAACATGAGCTGAACCTTAGAGGAATTTCAACCCAACCCTATGCCTCAGTGTCACTTTTCCAGATTTATTGCCACCCATTTATGCCCATCTGAAATTTTGCATCTTATTGAATAACCAATCAGACAGTACATTTGTAAACCGTACTGTAAATCAAGTGTATGACCTTCCCTACATAAGCAGCATTGAACAAATGACTGAAGGAAGGACAAAAAAATAAAACCCCTAAATGGCTGCGAGATGCTATGAACCGAAAGTAAACCATGTGATGCATTCACTGATGAAGTATAACTCTCCTTCCAGAGAAATGATAGCCCACATTTCGAAGGCAGCCTTTGCTGCAGCCATTTATACACGCAACACTTTTATAGACAACACTGTCTGCGCTTTCATGACCTCAAAGCAGGGTGTGATGTGCATCAAAGTGCTGGTTTTGATCTACAAATACCCCCCCAGAACCCAAAGAGATGGAAAGGAAAGAGGGTTGTTAAGTAAAGCTGCAAATATGCTTGTTGGGTTTCATTTTTAAACAGAAGAGTTCTCAATAACACCGGCGGACTGTCCGGCCGGGTTACGCACGCGGCAGATAACTCCGGTGGAGCGGCACTATCCGTGATGCCAGGGTCACCAGATACAATCTACAGATCCATCAGTCAAAGTGCAGTTGCTGCTGAGGTGTACTTCCCTCCCTTCTTCGTTCCCCCACGCCTTGCTGCTTCAGGAATATTAAATATGGGCTCTGTGGCCACTGCAGATGCAATGCCATTGATTTTGCGTCAATCCTCTGGGCTGCAGTAATTTGATTTGGTATCAGCAGTGACTAAATGAGACTTCTTGAAGCAAGAGCGGAGAAGATGAGGTGATGCGTTGGCAGGTTTCTAATTCTGAACTGCTTCATGTTTGCAGGTGGGGTTTGAGATTCATCAATACCAGAGAGGCTGAAGGATCCAGCTGCCTTTGTGCTGCACTTACAAAGATCCTGTCCTCCTGTTGTTTCCTTCCTTCTGCAATATCTTCTTTCTATACCTGAAAAGGATCTCAAAACAAGATAATCTTGGTATTTTTTTATAGTGCCGACTTTAACTAATAATGAAAATCCCTCTGAGAATTCAACAAGATGTTATAAAGTTGCGTGCTAGGACCGAAAGGTCTAGGCCAAGTCCTGTTGGGTTTCTTTGGGAGAAGTTGCATTTTTCTTAAAGCGATATTCATCACAACTGATTCTACTCTAATGAGGATCCCAACCCCTTGTGGCACTCAGCGCTTCACCAGAGTCAGCAATGAGCCTAATGCAATTAGGCCACGGCCGTCTGACGGAACCCTCTTGGACTCGGCGAGAGACGGCCAAGATGTTTCCTAAATGTCGGCACAATCAGAAGAGCACGGCTCGAGTGCCACGGGCTCCCTCTGGGGCCCTCCTGGCTTCTTTTACTTTCCGTCAAACTTGTCTGCTCTGGTGAAAGCAACCTGTGGATTTAATAGAAATATATATGTTACTTTAAAGACTAAACCAGGGTTAAAATAGTTTTGAGTTTTTCATGACAGTTTCATTTTATTTTTGTTGTGACTTTTTGTTTGTCTGATTCAGACAGTTAAATTATGTTTACTATTTTTAATATTTGTTAAATGTTTAGTTTTAGTTTAGTGTTTATTAGTTATAGTAGTAGTGTTAGTTTTTTCATACTTTGGTTATTTTTTAGCCACAGAATTCAAAAAAGTGAAAATATTGTAATGAGATTATGTTTACATGGACTGGGTAGTGAATACTCACTCAATTTTTGTTGAACAACCAACTTTTGCCGTCGCCATTTTTGCGAACTAGCATAAGTGCCACTAGGAGGAGTATGGAGTGCCGTAATTTGTCGACAGCTGACGTAAACTCTTTGTGTGTGTGTGTGTGTGTGTGTGTGGGTGGGTGTGTGTGTGTGTGTGTGTGTGTGTGTAGGGGGGGGGGTCTATTTCATATAAGTTGGGAAGGCTAATAAATGTTTTGATAAACACAAAAACCCTGGATGTTATATCTATAATTTCAGCATGTTTTAGTTCATTTCATAAACTCACATTACAGTTCCAGTTACTCATAGTTTGCCCCTTATTAATCATTGTTAAGGGTTAGTTTACATTCAGTTTACTTTAGGTTTAGTTAACTATAATAACCTTGATCCCAGTATACTCAAAATATTCACAAATCTATTTTGGCGTCGCCAGAGTGAAGCAATGTTTCTGCATAAATCAACTTCATATGCATAGCTGGATTTTAATAGGGAGTGATATATAAGAGACAAATATTGTGCTCTTATCTGCATTATGATGGCGCATTGTGATTCACCGTACCTCCCCCTGACAGTGGCTGCTTTCTTTTCTTCTTCTTTTTGCCTCATCACTGAAGTATTCCCACCTCCCTGCGAGCAGTCTCCCCTTGTCACGTCCTGACCGGTGAGCAGCTCAATTCTGCCCCCAAGTGGCAGACGACAGCAACGACCGGCCACCGCCACAGACAAGGAGGTTAACAGCTCCAGATGCTCGCCGTCAGCTCCGCGGCTCCGCAGACGCAGGTGCCACGGCGGGTTCAAAAAGACGAACACACGTCAAATTATCACGGAGCCTGGCGGCGCTCCCGCTTTTTCTTTTTTTTTTTGATGAGCGGACATCAAATCAATAATCTGTTCATTAGTCTTACATGAGCAAATCTAAGAGTGATCCTCTGCTCAGAGAAATCGATACCGCATGTAGTTACTCATTGTGCCAGATCCTTTTCTCCATCCATAACAGACTTTTATGTGTATCTCTCCCAGCTGCAAAAAACGAACACCTCCCAATTACGGCAGAACAAATCCCCCTGTGTGTAACCTATCAGGATGCAGTGCACTGAATCTCTTTGAAGTTGCACCGGAGCAGAGATTTCTGTAATTCGTTGCAGGAGCAAAAAATGACATCCAACATCCAGCCCCTGAATGTGTTTTTGTCTGTCGGGCCGCAAATCTTTCTTTTTCCGTGCAATCAAGGTCACACAGTGAGAGGCCACTAACAATGTGTGGGCTTATTTCCCTCCTGCCTTCATTACTATACAATTAGCTGCGGTGCTATTCAATTTCCCTCATTTCAGACTTTGCAGATCAATATCACTCAGGCTGCTGGCTAAATGGTTTTGCTGCTTGGATGGCTTTTCTATAGCTTAAGGGGAGGTATCAATCACGGAGCTAAAAGAGACATTCAGTCCTGGAGTGAGAAACGAGCAGACAGTCTTTGAGGAGCAATTGCACAAGATTTGAGAGAGCTGTGGTGTGGTGGTGGTGAAACCTGGGCTGTGTGAAATATTTAAAAGTGGATATTACCACACAGTTCAGGAAGAATCAGGGTCAATATGTAAAATTGATTTCCTGACAAATAATTCAGCAGCTCTATATTTTTTGCCCTTTTTTCGTCAGATTCGATGCAGTCTGGCTTTTAGAAACATCACTGTGCAGATTTTTTTATTTTTTATTTTTCCACGATAAGGCTAAACTGGATAAAGGTGCTTGTAGTAGTTGTCTATTGAGGAAAACCTTGTGATATTGTTCTTAGCATATAAAAATTACATTTTTTTGGTCAAATAATTTCTGAATTAGAGGAGAAAGTGTTTACAAACAACATAAGAGTCTGAAATGGTTGGTATTTATATGGGCGTACCTCAAGGTTCTGCACTGGTGTCTCTGCTTTTTGGTTTGTTCGGTTTTCCTGAAACTTGATCATTTTGTGCTGTTTCTCAGATGTACAAACAGATGCTGGTGTTGAATATTTATATACGTCATTCCAGCAGCAGAAGAAATGTCAGCCGGTCATAGCTTAAATCTCTGAAAGGCTTTATGACATGTAAATAGAGATCCAGATGTGAGCGCTATCGTAGCGGGGAAGTCAGATGTTCAGGAAAGTTAGTTCTGACAGTCTCTAGGAAAAGTATTCATGTCTCTTAACTTCTTCATATAAACCTATAAAAAGTATAGAAAATAATACAATACAATAATACAAAATAATGACAGTTAAATAAAAAACATGCAATGTAAAATAGGTGATTGAATAAATATTCACACACACACACACACACACACACACACACACACACACACACACACACACACACCAACACACACACACACACACACCAAAATGTGTGTGGGAAAATATTGGACCCCCAGAGACCCCTGAGACACTTATGGAAAAAGTTTATTGCTTAGTTGCATTTGAATAATATCTGACCATCGGGACACAAACAGGAAGTACTATACCACGATAATATATGAGCAAGCTAGATAAAAATGTTTCAGTTGCATAATTCTGGGATTTAACTGAGCATAATAAATTACATATTTTGATATTTTTTTATACTAATCTGTAAAAAAAATATTCTAAATCAGCAAAATAGTTGTTTGTAGCAAGACAAATCTATAAATATGTATATTAGTGGTGGTAAATGAAGACAATAATAATAATTAGCTCAAATGAAGCAACATAAATGGCTTACTATCATGATGTGTGTGGAGTGGACCCAATCGCAGCCGGCAGTAGATGTAGTATACTGTGGATATATCAATGAAGAAAACCAACAACAAAAATCTGAAATCCAAGGGTGCAAGGAAATCCAGAACACAAGCAAAGGGGATACATGAGATTAGCAACGAGCACAATGACGAGCTGGGTAACGAGACAGACTGGAGAGTTGTGACTGAGATAGAGGAGCTTAAATACTGGGAGGGAGTAAATGGAACAATGGACCTAACGAGATGAGATGATAGCAGGTGTGAGTAGTTGGCACAGGAGCAAGATGAGGGGCAGGGAGAAGATGGTCCAGGGAGGCTGAGGGGATCTGCTGGGGAAAACAACAGGGAGCTGAAAATACAGAAGACACATTCAGAGTAAAGAAAATCTCATAAAGTAGAAGAGAGGAAGACATGAAGGAAAACATAAACAAGGCTGATCTAACAAGAACCAAGGAACATAGAACTAGAGTAACTAGAAGATCTAAACAAAGAAATAACCTAACTAGAATCACTAAAGAAAGATGAACATAGATTCAGACAAAAAGACTAACTAAACCTAAAGTGATAAAATAAGAAAATGAGGTACACTAACAGGGGGAACTAGAAGGACTTAAGAAATAACATAACTAGGATTACTAAAAAAATTGATGCAGACATAACAGAATTCAACCTACTAGAAGGACTTAACTGGAACTACTAAAGAAAGGTATACCTAGACTCAGACTGAACCTATGGTAACTAAAGAATAAACCTAATTAGAAACATTATGAAGGACTGAAAATAAGGAAAGCAATAATAAGGCATCATGAAAGGCCAACCTAAAACATAATGCAAAATAAGACGAAAAGCAAACCCAAACACGCAGAGTCCTGACACTTACATATGGTTTTTTTTGTGACAGTTTCTCACTGGGCTTTATTCATGCTGACGGACTGAACTCCACGCTGAGAGATCCGGTAGCGGATCAAGGTTGACGGGTCCAGTTCTGCGGTTCAACAGCTCGTTGTTAACCCACGTGAGAGCAGTTAGCGCCATCACAGCGCGGGGTGAGATATGAACGCAGCTCGATCGATGTCCTCGCTTTCAACGGAACAACCAGACACCGACTCCATCTCTGAGGGTAATTAGTTGTGGCGTGGTCGCCCAGGTCCATTCAGGGCTGGTTATTACCGCCAGAGGCAGACAGGCGGAGGGCGCGGGGTCGGGGGTCACCTGAACCCAAAGGCGGGAACTTGGAGAAATGTAGAGTCTCCTATAGGAGAAGGAGGGGACCTATCTTTGGAAATGTGTGGAGACGTGAAGGGGAAGAACGCATCACAGACCTGCTCTAGATCTTAATCTCCACCAGAGCTCAACTTCTAATCACGCCGCATCGATCGCATCCAAGCAGAGGGAAGTCGAAACTCTTTTTACTTTGCTGTTATTCAGCAAATTCCCATCAAGGACATCATTCAGGAACAAAACCCAGCAACTGTGCTGCATCTGTATCTGTATATTGCAACAGAGAGGCAAAGAAATGTTTGCCTCTATTAGATGAATTCTAGTTTTGCTTCAGTTACAGGTTATTATTAACACCGCAAAAACAAAATCTTACAAAGTATTTTTGGTCTAGTTTCTAGTGCAAACATCTTGATGTAAAACAAAACTAACTTACAAATTTAGCATGACAACGCAGCTTGTTTCAAGTAATTCCTCGATATTGAATAAAAAGTACTACCTTAATTGGCAGATTATTTGATTATTTCAGTTAGAACAATTGCTTTCCTCATATTATAAGTGAAATAATCTGCCTGTGAAACTAGTTTTTTTAAATCAATATTGAAGAATTATTTGCAAAAAACAAGCTCCAATATTTTGCTGAATATTTTCTTGTAAGTTTTGTTTTATTTCAAGTGCACTAAGACATTTGCACTAGAATCTAGTCCAAAAATTGATAAGATTTCATGTTTTTGCAGTGCAGTTTTAATATCAGACCTAAATCGAGACAAAATACAGTTTTTAAATTATGCGTTTGTTAATTAAGGTGGGAAAAGTTGTTCAGAACCAAACTGTCTTTGTGTCATAAATGTTTATCCTCTTTCAAAGTGTGGTCCAGGGGCCATTTGTGGACCTTAAAATGATTTTGTTTGGCCCCTGACCACAGATCCAGAATATTGAAAATTTGGCCAACAAACTGAACCAAGATATTTGGAAATGGTTGTCTTCTTTTAGTAAGGCAAAAGTTTGAAGCACTTTTAATGCTTTGGATCTTTAACTATGCACCAATTTCACAAAATTAAAAATAATTGTTGGACAGGTAAAAGTAAAAAAAACAAACTCTAATAAATAAAAATAAAAAATAAACGAACACCTTTTTGCATTTTTACGTTAATTAATTTTAGGTTAATACTCAGTAGTTTAAGCTCACCAGTTTTGCCCTCGCTGCTCTAAACGGTAACGACTGGTAAAGTCTTTGACTATACCATCCCAAAACCTTCATTTTCTTTTCTTTTCATCATACTGAGGTCAGATTTGATAAAGCAACCGATGGCTTTGCAACAGGACTGATAACAAAGTGACTCTGACTTTTTTTTCTTTCAGTAAAATATCTTTTTTCTCAGAGTTCTACCTTTTTACTTAGAATTATAATTTTTTTCTCCGAATTCTAAAATTCTCAGAATTCTGAGGGAGAAAAAACGCTTTTGTCCCACATTCAGAATTCTTTTTTTTCTAGTGACTCTAATCTGTCATAAATAAAGATCACATTGCAACAGTGGGATGGCTTCTTTTAAAGAGTAACTCTGTTCTTGACATGCCTCAGTCAAGACAGCGATGGTGAATCAGAAAATCTTCATTTCTTGCATACAAATGAGCATTTATACACAAAATTAAGCAAAGATGGGCAAAAAACAAACAAACATCCCGACCCCACTAAGGTACAAGAGTGTACAGAAAATGGATGGATGGATGAAAAAAAATACACAAACTCATGTTTTTTTATATATATATCATTCTTATTAATCACAAACATTTTCACAACAACACTTATTTGAACAGCTGGTGCTTTTAATACTGAGGAATCATTTGGGAGCCACCAGAGAACAACGTAGCGAGGTTCTGGTCACACACAGAGAGGCAGCCGTCAGCACTGAACGGCCAGACACTCATGCAGCAAAGAATCAACAACACGGAGTCTCATTCAGTGATAAAGCGGCAGTTTGCGAAACGCAGCTCCACGTCTGAATTCATCTCTCCACAGGCACAACGAAGCTGCACACTTTTGTCAGTAACGGCGCTGGAGTTCACTACGTTAGAAACCACCAAACTTCTACTCTACAGAAGTACTTCAGAGGCAACGTGCAGAATAGAAACAAAAAAAAAAAGGCAAAATCCAAGATTCTCAGGAATATTTTTCTACAGGCTGCTGTCGAATAATAACAATAATAATAACAATAATAATAAAAAAGCCTCATTAGGTGATTTCAGTTTCACTTCCCCGCTTTGATCCCTTAAAAAAAACTGTTGCCAAATTTGCGAGGGAAGGATGTGGTGTGACGGCAGCGTTTGTCTGTCTCTGCTAGGCTCACGATCACAGTACGGCGAAAACGGCACGGCGTTCACTACAGGACGGCCACCGACACGAAGGGAAACGTGACAAAAACACGGCCGTGTTCGCCGGCGCTCTAATTACAGGCGTCTAAACGCTCCTGTCTGCTGTCGCTTTTGTCTGCTCAGCAGATGTTTTTGTCACAGTTCCCACAAAGCAACAATATATCTGACATCAAAATTGGGTCCTTGTTGTGGCTCCACTCAAATACATACTTGAGAAAACGGTGCAGAGGAAAACAAAAAAGAAACAAGAGCATCTCAGAGAAAAGGAGACGATAGCTTAGTCTGAGTGGCCGCTTTACATTCGTGGCAATAACAGCACCGCTTTAATGTTCTGAAGAAGAGCAGACATCCACCTCCAGATGCACACTGACTCTAAAGTTTCACTGAGAAAATACAATTTTATGGATTGTTTTTTTTTTTAAATACAGGAAAAAAAAAACATACAATATTTCTAAACATGAACACTCTCTGCAGACTGAATCAACACACACGTTGCACCATCGATTTAGGTGAAGACAGCGTACTGTTCCAGCATGAGTCCACCGTGTGGCAGCGTGTTCAGAGCGTGTTCCCCCTCGGTGTTGAGGGTTCTACCACTAACATGCCGTGTTAGTGAGAGAACGTTCTCCGCTGGGTTCGGGTCTCTGATCTGGCTCCGTGAACACCGCCGTCGTCTGGGGTTGGGGGTGGGGTTCAGGGTGGAGAGGGCTGCGGGCTGATAGCGGCCCACTCCCAGAACACAGCCTGCAGTTAAAGGCTCCTAAAAGAAACAGGAAACCATCAGCATAATGGCAGCCACACCAGGTGGACAAAACAGGAAACCAGGATGTCAGATCTGTGCTCTGCACTTCCTCCTTCAGCTGGTCTGAGGAAAGAATGAAGAATCATGGGAAATATGAAGCATTTGACTGAATAGTAGGTCAACATTGTCTTAAATAACCCATTAGTGAGGGGGAGCTGTTTGTAAAGTTACACTGTAAAAAATGAGCTGCAGTGTTTTGGTTTCTTTAGCCTGTCAGAGAGGGGGGGAAATGGGTATTAATGTTTCAAAGTCATATTTTCACCATGTTATTCGTATACTTATAAATGTCAAAGTTCGAAAGTAAATATTTAACAAATCTTTAGCTAAAAGTATTTATTTTAACTACAAATTTAGTTATAAAGTAAATATTTTCCCAACTAAATGTCTATATTTAGGTGTGACCTCAATATTTAGCTTGCTAGCTAAATACTTAGAAACCAAGCTAATTATTTAATTTGCTAATTAACAAACTTGAAATATTAAATTTTAGTTAGCAAGCTAGATATTTAGCACTCGGCTAAATAAATATTTAGCAAGCAAGCTAAATACTTAGCAACTTAAATATTTAACTTGCTAACTAATTTGAAACTTAAAAAAATCCATCCATCCATCCATTTTCTTTCACCCTTGTCCCTTAGTGGGGTTGGGAGGGTTGCTGGTGCCGATCTCCAGCTAACGTTCTGGGTGAGAGGCGGGGTCACCCTGGACAGGGCATCACAGAGACAGACAGGACAAACAACCATGCACACACACACTCACACCTAGGAAGAGTCAGTAACATTAAGTTAAATGTTTAACTTCTTAACTAACTTGCTAGCTACATATCTAGCTTGTATCTAGCTTGTGAATTAAATAGATTGAAACTCTGACATTTATAAATGTATGAATAGTATGAATAACATGGTGACAATATGACTTTGAAAATTGAACATTCTTTTTTTTTCTCTACGGCTAAAGAAATAAAAATATTGCTGTTAATTCTTTTTACTGTGTAATTTTACCAATGACAATCCATCATTTTGATCACATAAAGCCAGATAAATGTGCAAAGATTAGCTAAATTGTAAATTCTTCCAGTTTACTAAGCTTAGCAAAAGTATTCAAATGATTTTCTTTTTTTTTCTTTTTACACGATGTTACATTACAAACACAACCGTCAATGTATTATACGATGATTTGTTTGACAGACTAGAAAAAAAGTGGTGCATAGTTGGCAAAAGGAATGAAAATGATTCATGGTTCGTATGTTTTCAAAATATACAAAAGCAAAAATATGGCGAGTGTTTTCATTCCCCCCTCTGAGTTGATTCTTCACAGAAACCTTTTCCAGATGCAGTTCTTCGTGCCTCTGCGTAAACACACTTCACCCGTTTCAAAACAAGAGCGTGAAAATAAACGTCTCTACTTGAAGAATTCTTAACAGTCGATAACCAACAGCTCAACATGGATGTCGAAGTAAATTAATGCTCTAGAATTTATCTGGAAATATCAATTTATGGGAAGCTATGTATGCTAAATGTTTTCATAGCTAGCAAAAATGCTAAAGAGTAAACTGAACTCTGCTATTAGCGTGATAGCCGAAGAGTGCCCACCACTGCTCTGTTGCTAAGTTACTGTGCTGCAAACAGTTTGTTCATAATATTTCCTTTTATGACCCATTGTTGACGATGAGCTCTCGGGTCTCATGACCAGAACCCAGCACGGCTTCCGGATGTTTCTCTGACCTGTCTGTCTGTTCTCTGTTCTTCATGATGCCATCGGTTCACTAATGTTCTCTAAACAAACCTCTAAGACCGCCACAGAACAGCTGGGTGTAAAATAAAATGAAACCCCATGCAGGTGGACTCTGTTTAGTGATTTGGTGACTTCTGAACATACTTTATTTATGGGCATCAGAGTAATGTGGGCTGAAACAAAGTGCAGCTTCTCTGCTACTTCACAACTATTTGTAGGCTTGTGTTGGTCCGACACATAAAACCCAATGAGGTACATGACAGCTTGTGGTTGAAAATGTGTCAATGTTCAGTGGGAATTAAGGCGCTGCATTCTAACATCACTTTATTATGAAGTCAAAATGTCTGAAGGCAGCCAGAAAACATCCATTACTGCAATGTATTCAAAATGTGTGGATACATTTTTGCCCCACAGCCTCTTTATTGGCGAATATGACCATGTCATTTTGCATTCTTGTTGTTTAATTAGCCTATTTAAGAAAACACTGGTCTCCGACTTAGCAGTAAGATAATTCTCAGAGGGGGTAAGATGGTACAAAAGAAGAAGAGTCATTCCTCCAAAGAGAAATTAGGCAAATTT